GTTGCCATGCGATAAGCAGCAAATTATTTTCAAAAACCAACAATAGTTCTGAATACGCCGACCAATAACCTGTGCCATTTACCTGTGCAATATTGTTCAGATGATCAATATTAATGAACCTTTCCATAATGCCTCTAACCCTTTGAGACATCGCGTTGTACAAAAAAGGTACCATAGGGTTATCCGTCTGAAATTCGCATAGAAATGGCTCAACTTCGACAGCAACTGATTTGAAGAAAGCCAGCTTAATACCACGTTAAGACTACAGAGTTATAACATGTTATAACGGTTATAAAATAATTGCAACACAGAAACCACCATCAAGATAGTGCTATAACATGTTATAACCATAGAGGTAACTCTGATATAACTCTGTAGTACTATTAGCCATCAGCAGCGAGTCATTCAAACAGTTTTTAACATCTTGGTAGGAAGCCGAGGTTGGTTCGATTTTGTCTTTCTGGACGCCTTGAATAAATTTTCGTATTTGCGGAATAATTTCGATTGCCCTCTGAACAGCACCACTATTACCCAGCCATCGGTGGCCGCAAAACTTTAACGGGAATATGCTAGATCCGGAATACATCGTGTTAAACGCTCGTTTTGCTGGTACATCTTTGAAGATATTGTAGATACCACGCAAATATTAGATAACATCCCAACTGGTACTGCGAACACTATCTTTGAATGCAATATGCAAAATATGCAGCCCACAGCTTCCCAGATCTATCAGCTTCTCGCCACCTTGTTGGGCCCATCCATGGACACTTACAGCAACTTGTTCGAAGGGATAACGGCAAGGGCTTCCATAAACGCTCTGGTTTATAGTACGGAGCAATGCCAAACATATCCAGGTCACGTCCTAGCTGAACCTTAGCGGCGATTTGACTGTCGAAAAACATTATTTGATAACAGTCATGTTAACGAGCTCTTTGCCCCATTGCACCAGTTTTGGGGTAAACGAACTAGAGTGGGTACCAAAAAGCAAAGTATCAAAATCAATGTGAGGTAGACGCGCTATATAAGGTTATATATTAAAATTGACAACCACAGCATACCCGGCAAATTAGTAAAGGACTACATTTACAAAATCAGGAAGGCCTGATTATTTTTCTGAACGCAGCGAAAGAGAAAAAAGCCAAATTGAAACAACACAAAATTTGTGTTTTAACGCAAAATACTCAATTCGGCTATTTTGGTTCGTTTCAATTTCAATGTTAAGTTGGCTAGAATAAATCAAATATATCATTTTTTTTTCCCTGACCTACACTAAAATTCCCTGACATTCCCTGACTTTCCAGATCAGAAATAGAATTCCCTGACATTCCCTGACTTTCCAGATTTTTTCCAGGTAGTCGACACCCTGCACATAACTATGTGTCGCTAACCTTCATTTAGTTTCAGCATTTTCGACATTATAATCAAAAGGTGAGTTGTAAAGTAAAATTACCATGCATAGAGATAAGTTAATGTACCAAAACCTGGATGGCCACGAACCTACCTAGGGGAGGACCCGGATACGACCACCCATGTGTGTCTATAGTATCGCACGAGCTGGCGAGTGCAACGGGAAGAACAGTAGGCGTATAAACTAGGGAGTTGGTCCATAGATGTAAGAAGATCCCGAAGAAACGAGCTAAACTTTTTGGCTCAGCTCTGGTACTATCTTCGGTCCCAAGCTAATCGATGCACCCCTCGAAACATAGGAAAATCCACGAACCCCTCATTTTATCTGTCAAACTTTCATAGCGAACAAACATAGAATTTCGACTAGAAAGGGGTAGGTAAATCGTTTGCCTGGGACCAATAGGCTAGTCAAGTAGTGAGTCAATTTAAAATCGTTAGTTTCGTATTGATTGTTGGTTGGTCCCTAGATAAGCCTTCTTAGCGGAAGCCACACCCTCTGCACTGAACAATTACAATCACAGTTACAATCCATCTTTTTATTGATATATACCGCCTGTTACCATTCTCCTTTCTTCGTTTGTGACTTTTAATAAATGTGAACATTTTCGACATTTCTAGAAAGAGCTGGAATTAGGACGTAACAGCTTTTGTAAACAATGACTTCTCTCGATGATTTCTAGAAACTCAAGGCTCGCCCAAGCAAATCAATATCACTATCAGGTAGGGGAAGTCTTCCCTTACCCGATGGTTATGTTGGTTTGCGTCGCACCCACCCCAATTCCTAGAAATAATCGAGATAAGTCATTGTTTACAAAAGCTGTTAGACCCTAATTCCAGCTCTATCTAGATTTGATCAAGAGGATTTTTTTTGCGATTTCAGTCAGAACTGCATGTACTTTGTCGTTGAAATGATCAACATAATCTTGTTTCTATTCCGTTCTAGCTTTAATGACCTCTGCTTTCAATACTGGATTATTTCGGTCAGCCTACTGCCTTTGATGAACCTGCAAGTACTAGTTTGACGCATTTACAATGCGAGGCGTTTCAGGTGAACCACACACTTAGATTTTTTGCCGAGATTGGCACAACCGAGCAGGCTCCGCATTTATTTTTACTGCGATCTCAGCAAAATTTATGTTTGTTAGCCGAGATCTCAGCAAAATTCCCGTTTGTTAACTCGTTGTTTTTCAGCAATTCTGAATCAATTTTTAGCTTTTTTGCCTGTCGTCCTGTCTATAGTCGCTATATTCATAGTCTGGCGGATAGAAATGCGATTTATCAAAAAGCCGAACCATTTCAATATATTGTAGACCAACAATTGAAAAGGTACTATCAACTTTTATAAACAAAACGTTGATTATTCTTTCCTCGCCAATCGAAGGTAAATTACCATCATCATCGGATAGGGGAAACTTTCTACAACCTAAAATGGCGTTAGTTTGTGTAGGTGAGCCTTTAGTCACGAGAAAATGGTTTCCGAAATTTTGTTCGCAATAGTTGATGTGCTCTTTTCTGTTGTTGGTCGTGATTTGCTCGATTGGTTCCGCTATTTGACAGCTCAATTGGTTCCCAAGATTCTATCCGCCAGACTATGAATATAGCGACTATAAATAGTCCTGTCGGGTTCTTTCGGTCCTCTCCTCTTTCTTCATTATGTAAGCGATCATTTTGTGATCACTTTTCAGCTCTGCCTGATAGTATGCACGAATTATCGAAATTTTCATGAAATTCATTATGATCATGATAACATGATCGAGCAGCGAGCTGGTCTTTCCATTACTTCATGTTGCTGTGACGGACGCTGAAGTGCTGAATGTGAGATAATTTTTAAGCTAATAAAGTCCATGTAGATTTTTTTTAATCCCGTTCCGTCTGCGTTACAATACTCGTGGAAGAGACTATTTCCAATCACCATTATATCTTCATTTGCTAGATCCTTCTTTCCGATACGAGCGTTGAGATCCCCGATAACGACGATGTTCCGTTTTACGCGCTGAAAGGTTTACCACATATCTGGTTACAATGGAGAATTCACGACCTTCAACTTGGCTTTCGGTCCTTATATAGGACGAGATGATCAGAACGTTTTGCACAAAGATCTATATTTATAAAGCACTCATTTTTTTTTGCTGGTGTCTGATGACACCTCAGACCATGGTTGGTCCATCTTGCCAAGTATTCTTGATTTGATTCAGATGTCTGTTTTTGTCTGGGGGGGGGACGTGCTGTCAAATCAGCCTACTGATCATCTTGTATGTTCCAAACGTAAACAAACGCTGTAGGTTTCTTATGGCTTGTTTACGTTTGGAACCAGTTATCCGAGGTAGGCGACGATTGTTCGTATTTGACAGCCACCTCTCCCCTTGGTTTTTGTTTCCTGAATGAAGCAGGTGATCTGCTTCATTGTTGCCTCACATTCCTCTTTCAGTATTCCGACGAGCGGCATACAGTATTCCAGTGCTAGGAATTTACTTCTGATATTGTTGAATTTTGGGCAAACATGCTCTAGATTTTCGGTTTCGTTACATTCAGTGCATCGGTCATTTGGTTCCATTTTAAACTTCGCTTTCCTTTCTTTTGTTAGTGTGTGACCTGCTCTTATCCTGCTCATGATTCTTTTTTCTTCTGATGATAGGATCAGATTTTTTACCCAAATATTCCTCCGTGGTTGTGTTTGTACTGATCTATACCATTGACCTTTGTCTTGGCTCGTAGTTTCAAACGTTCTTCTCCATTCATCCCACGTCTCTTTTTTCGCTAGGACAATTGCGTCACCGAAGGTGATTGAGTTGTGGATACTTTGGGTCCCTTCTGTTCTCCTAACTGCTTTTCCATCCACAATTTCGTTGCGTTTGTCGGGATGCCTCAGAAACCCCTACAAAATGGGTATTAGGGTGGGTTAAGTGGTAACGGTGGTAACGTTGTATGGTGGTTCACAATCTTCATGTCCCACTGCTTTCGATGTGTATTGAGGTCCCCAACAACTGTACCAAATTTGATCGAATTTGGTAACGTTCTGGATTTACGGGATAAGTAAAAGTTAATGTTGGAAAATTATTGAGAAATGGAACGAAACTATTCATTTGCATGTCAAAAATTTAAAAGTTGATCCATCTTTTACCTAGCTTGAGGTGGGTTGTAGTTTTTTCGAGGATTGCAAATTGATTCGACATCTTTACTAAAAGTTCGGACCTCAATACAGATCGAAAGATCAGTGGGGAGCGGGTCCATCCTAATGGATATTAATTAAATCAGAAGAATCATATGCCTGCTTTAGAATCTTCAATCTTTGAAGCAGTACTACTTCCGATGAAGAGGATTTTCATGGATTTTAGCTGAAAAGCGGCACAAGAGAAAAACGGCGATTCTCGTAAGCAAATATGCCGACTGATATCAAACTAAAGTACCGTACGACGGTATGTAGAGAAGGGGCATTTCCAAGTTTTCGACTTTTTACCCTCCTCCACGCTTTTTCTCATACCTGTTACACGTACTATCAAAAATTTTAAAAAATCCACCCCCAATGCCCCACACTTAAGAGTGGACGTCATATTTAAATCGCCCGGAAATAGAAATAGCAAATCGGTACTTACCAATACAACTCGTCATTTTGAGTGCACTTCAAAATCAAACGCATGAACCGGAACGTCTCGATTTGCGTCTGAATCAAGCTGACCTGAGGAGCAGTAAAGCGAATGTTATTTTCAAACCGTCCGAAATTCTAGCAAAATTCAAATATTCTCTTACGTTGACATCTCTCCGGGAGAAAACGTATCGCTTCAGCAGACTTGTCACGTGATACCTCGCCAAGTAACGATCGTAGAAATCGTTCCCGTAGGAACACAACACCCGCAGCAACTTGATCACCAAATGCTGTGGCTCAAATTTACCGGCCCCCTCAATCGAAACCAAATAGTTGTTCACCAGCCCGCCGATCAGCTGCTCGTTGGAGACAATTTTTACAGCCATCGATTCGTTGGTTCGCGCTAGCCGTATCAACAGTTTCGTACAACTAATAGCCGTGGTTCCTTCCGGCCGCATCGAAAACAGAATGTACCGAATTCGTTCCAGGATGTTTGATCGCAGAAGACACTCGAGCAGATCGGTTTCTGCCAGATGGAAATCATTCATCGTTTCCCGATTATTGATGTCATCTGGGTCGTCATCGATTTGCGTAGAAAATTGCACTTTGCGACTGCTTTTCTGTGATTTCTTCTGCTCGTGCAGTTTCATGGTATCGAAACCCTTTTCCAGTTCTTTCTGACGCAGTTCCTCTTGCTCTGCTCGACTATGCGTTATGTTGAGACCAAGCTCAGGCTGATAGATTCCACGTTCCGTGTCGTAGATTGCGTCCAGCAGCGTTTCATCCGTATCATTGTAGAAAAAGTAAGCCAACGCTCGAGAGGCAGCCTCAACAACCGACGGAGTGTTTTCATCCAAAGCGAACCGCAGAAAGAAGAATGTTTTGGATATTGGAAGCTCCAACACTCCGTCGTAGAAACCCTGATTCAGAATGTTCAGTATCCCTCCAATGGCATTCAAAGAGGAAATTCGTTGCTGCAGCACATTGGCCCGTGCCAAGCGGAAAAGTTCCTGCAAAGTGTAACCTGGACGCTCTACTTCATCTCCGTGCAAGTACAATTCACGATCGTCTTTCTTCGGGTCCTCGCCTTTGACTGCATACGGCTGGAGTACGCCCTTCCAGTCAAAACGAGCCTCAAACGTTTCCCCCGGTTTGAGATCCTTTAAACTCCGCTGAATGTTCTTGGTCCACTCTAGCTTTTCCGGTTCCAGAATATCGAAATTGATCCACTGATCGGATCCATCCTGCTGCAGCACATCCAAATCCGGAATTTCAGGTTTTACCTCTTCTATTTCGTGAATTGGTTCCTGAGCCGGCTTTAGACTTGTAGTTGCACCCTTCCTTCTAGATTTCAAAAACTCCACCAACTTTGGGTCCATGGTGCTCACCAGATGATCTTTTTCCTTGATAATTTCCTGTTCGTCCATTTGTTGCATTTTTTGAACATTTTCCTCGTGAATTTCCAGCGCATCTTTACCTTCCAAAATTATACTTTCAACCGGGAGATTAAACTTCTTAATTTTACATCCTTGACCACTTGGTTCACCACCCCCGTCTCTAATGAACATTTGAGCGAACAAACTCTTCTTCTTCCCACCGGCAATCGGAAGCACTTTCAAGTGAACCGGTTTCGGAAATGCTCCCTCAACTTCCTCACCACTCTCTTCAACATCCATCGGAACCGATCGATGCTCATAGCGCTTTTCTACTATTTCACCAATAATCGTATTTTCCGGCACCGACGCTCTCTGATCTTCCTGCCTATTTTTCTCAGTTTTTTGCAACTGCCGACGACGAGCGAACTCCGACTGACGGGAGGCTGTAAAATTAAAAGACCATTTTTTTTTAAATATTGAACCACACAGTATCAATTATTGTGAAAACGAACCTTTCCCAGTCGGGGGTGGTGCAGAAGCAGGTCCATCATCGCCATCCGAACGAACGCGAACGACTTTGGCAGCGGGTTGAAACTTTGCATCCCGATTTGTTTCGGCGTAAAAGTCCTGCTGCATTCGCAGGATATCGTTTTCGCTATCCTTATTCGACGGTCTTTTGATCATTTTGAGATTTCGATACAAAATTTCTAAACTAAAAAATCGGAACACGCACGACGTAAATCCACGATGAACACTCACTACTTTTTGGATTTGTTTTTGTTTATCTCTCCCATCGCATCACGCCGGCTCGCAAGAAAGTTACCCACCAACGAAGTCTCCACATCGGGATCATCTGATGTTTGTGGAGAAATCTGCTCGAGAAAGCAAAGACATAAAGAGGAAAGAAGGTGCCCTGATTCTGTTCCAGGAATCAGAGAAATCTCGCGTAACATTTGAATAGGGCCTATGATCAAAATGTAAACAAACCGATTTTTGATACCATTCTGTAGCACTGGTAATTAGCTACCAGTCGTATAGGAATGTTCCGCATTATCGATAAAAATCATTAAAAATAACTTGATTTTAAAAACGGCCGATCCACGAAATTTTTCCAATCATTCATGCTAAAACCACAAACGAAGTGACAGACGGAGCGGCTCGAAAACTTTGGTGACTAACCTTCTATTGCAATTTTTCAGTGTACCACATGGCAACACCACTACCACTGGATTGTACCACATGGCAACACTTCTATTGGATTGAACTAGCATTTTCACCAAATGTACTAGAATATTTTGGTTCTATCTCTTTCACTCTACTCAAAACTGAAATGCATAAAAAAATGACAAAATAATACGCACTCTTTGCACACTGTCAAAGAATCATTGTACACAAAATCAACTTTGATCAAATCAAAACAAAAAAACTAACCCATCTGGTGGATGATGGCACAAGCTTCCAAGAAAATTCTATTATACAGTGAACCACATTATTTAAATGGATTTCTTCGCCAGTTAGTCGTCTGTCACTTCGTTTGTGCTAAAACCGAGGGGGGCGACACATCTAAATCACAAGATTAGATGCTTAACAAATCTCCAACTAGCGAATCAATCTTCGAAAAATCTTCTTTCATTTCTCGCATCTACTTGCATCGCGCATCATCTTTTTGCAGGAAATCTTCAGAATCATCGTCAATCTTCTTTCTATCTACTCAGCGTGCACGCAGCTAGTCACAACAAAACACAATTTTTCCTGCATCGTAGATAGAGTCGTCCCCCTCGGCTAAAACGGCCTAACATATATTTTTTTTCGTTCGATGAGGTTCCATTCATAAGCCTACCCGCATAAACGCGAACCATAAATTGACCTTACCGAAAATGGTTAAAAATTGTTTATAATCCCTGCTAAACTTCAACTGAAATGGTTATGGAACTTTACAAGAACGTTTAATGATAAAGTTTTAACCTTATGTACTATGGTTTTTTGGAAGCGGACCTTACAAATAATAAGTTGTTAAGAACCATTACCATTCAAAATTCTTGTTTTCTCCATATATTTTCGGGAGGAGGACTATATTAGAACCTTTTAACTTATGGTTTGAGAACATTAATGGTTATGGTTATGGTAGTCAGTAAGGTCCATGAATAGTTTTGTAACATCGATCAACTTTATGTGGAATATATCGCGAATTGGTTGCCTGTAAATTACTGATTACCAATTCACGATATATTCCACGTAAAGTTGAGCGATAATACAAAACCATTAATGGACCTTACTGACTATCATAACCATAACCATTAATGTTCTCAAACCATAAGTAAAAACGTTCAAATATAGTTCTCTTTTCGAAAATGTATGGAGAAAACAAGAATTTTGAATGGTAATGGTTCTTAACAACCCATTATTTGTGAGGTCCGCTTTCAAAAAACAATAATACATAAGGTTAAAACTTTATCACACAAACGTTCATGTAAAGTTCCATAACCATTTCAGTTAAAGTTTAGGAGTGATTATAAACAATTTATAATTATTATCGGTAAGGTCAAGTTATGGTTCGCGTTTATGCGGGTAGCGACGTAGAAGGGCCGATGATTGAAAAATTTCAAATCAAAGCTAGGCCCTACTGCTTGAGGCAGGGCCGATTATTTATTTGACGTTAAGAAAAGGCTTAGCAAAGGGCCTACAATTTATGATGACAAGCACAACGGCTTAACAAAAAGGGCCTAACCATTTAAAGATTCACAAAAAGGCTTATTACTGTGATATTAAATTTTTATCGATTTTCATGTATTTTTGAAAACGTTTCGCATGTTTTGGATGTTGTGCACTGAGATATAGTTACTATTGTTATTGTGAACTATATAAATGCCTAAAATACTTCAATTTATTTATATAGGAATTAAATACTGGCGGAAAAATTTACAATTCATTTTCTGGATTGTTTACATTTTGGATATAGGCCCTTTTCAAATGTTACGCGAGAAGTCAACAATTTATGTTCTCATAATCACCAAAAGTCCTGTGGAAAACCTCAAAAATCTGCCGGAAAATGAGAAAAATTGACGAAAATTTTACTCAGTCTAAGAGTAGTACCAATATACATTCATGTAAATTTAGGTGCTCTGAGACTGACATATACGAGCGTCAAATTTGACAAAAATTGTGTCATAATAGACGCGAAATTCAGCTCAATCAAACGTACTTTTCGTCGAGTAACGAACTTTTGAGTCTCGGAGCACTTAATTTTACATGACATGTTTGTTTACGTCTCTTCCTTTATGTCAAAGATGGATTCCGTCACGTGTAGAATTAGGGATTTCTAAGTGTGCTGATTGAATCCAATCTTTACTTTTCTCATATTCGGGATTTTTTTACTGGACAAACCAGGAAAAACATGAAGCAAATTTACACATCACTGAGTTCCTGCACTTTCCAATTTGGGTCGATATCATTCGCCGTTTATGAATATTCAGACTTTCTCGACGAAATGTGGAAGCTGCCAAAATCTTCTGAGGGTTTTGAAACTTTTTCAGCGTTTCCTTGTCGTTCTCGCGAGCAAACTGGTTCACCAGCTGGATTTGTTTTGTAAATATGACCAGCTGTAAGCTCGAGAACAAAGGGGTCAAAAGTAAACATATGGAAGGGGATTAACTAGAAATACTCAGAGGGAGAGATAGGCGAAGAAAACAAAATACAATTCGGTAGCAGGGATTTGTACCTGACTTATCTTGCAACCCTTGCTAGCAGCTGAGTCAAAATTCCTGAAGTGGACCACTGATTTTTCACAAATCATTGGATTCCATTCAAAATACGTCTATATATTGCTCTTACCACGACAAACAATAACCCAAAATATTTCGGCAAAATTCGCATTTAAACAAAAGTTATAAACAATTAAGTTTTTTGGACCCTTTTTCGAAAAAAAATCTTATCTCTAGATCGGGCCAATGAATTTTTCTCCAGTTTTGATATAATCACAAGAAGACATGTTTCTTCCAAAATCACTAAAATTTATTCATCAAAAATGTAATTTGTTTATAATAATTACAATTTTTTATAAACAAATGCAATTTTTTGGTGTTCCCCGCGCGATACAAGATTGCTTTTTTTTTAGAATTGTTCCCTGACTTTTTTCCCATACAGAACCGTTTCAACATTTTTGTCACCAGTATTGGGAGCCGAGTTATAGCAATTTTTGTAACGCGCCGCACCAAGCGCATTTTGCCGAAATATTTTGGGTTATTGTTTGTCGTGGTAAGAGCAATATATAGACGTATTTTGAACGGAATCCAATGATTTGTGAAAAATCAGTGGTCCACTTCAGGAATTTTGACTCAGCTAGCATTTCACATGACTTTTACTTTTGATTCGATTTACTTGCAAAATAATAATTGAGTGCATCGCAATATTTTGCACATTTCTTGGTGCAGTTAAAACCGAAAAACCAATTGTATGGGGGCTTCCATAAAGAATTCTCTCAATAAAAATGATTTGCTATCAAGTTTATGGAAATGATGAGTTGTACAATCTTGTAGAATATTTCAAGCTAGCCAACTAAGATCAATTAATCAATAGAATTAGAATATTATTATTATTATTATTATTTAGCTTTATTAAGGAGGCTTTCAGCCTTGGGCTGAATTAGAATATTGTTTTTGATTTAAAACATAAAGGTGATTGAATTTCTGTTCGATTGCAATACTCTCAAATTTAATCTAGTAAGAAAAAGAAACCCTCGGAAAAATTCTAATGGGAATGTTCGATTGGCTCAGATTTAGACAGTTCATTTGGCTCAAAACATTCTCTCCGCCTCCAAGCGTTTTATACCCCGTTCACATTACAGCGTATATCACGTGATATACGCTGTCTTGCAATGAGCACTCATACCTCTAGTTTTCACTGGAAATCCTATGTATGAGTGCTCATTCCAAGACAGACTATATTACGATACATAGGCTGTAATGTGAACGGGGTAGTTACAACAATCAATACGAAACTAACGATTTTAAATTGGCTCACCACTTTAGTAGCCTATTGGTCCCAAGCAAACGATTAACGTACCCTATGCTAGTTGAAATTCTATTACTACACTATGTTTGTTTTGATTCGCTATGAAAGTTTGACAGATAACATCAGGGGTGTGTGGATTCATGCAGAACATGCAGGGGTGAGTGAAATAGCTTGGGACTGCTTGGGACCGTTGTTCTGGTACTGAGTGAGCCAAAAATAATAATGATTTTCTTCGGGACCCAGTGGTCTTAGAGTTACCTCTATCCCCGTTCACATTACAGCCTATACAGATACACCTCGTCGTCAGTCGGGTAGATGAATCGAAAATACTCAAGTTGACAGCCCCTCGTTACTGAACAGGGAAACCGTGATTAAGTGTGTAATATTCAACAACTTTTTATGCTCTGCAGCATAAGCACAAATTCATCGGATGAATAGAAAGATTTTTCTTCCAAATGTTTCATCGCAGAAAATTCAGAAACGTCAAAACTCTATTTTTCACAGATTAAACCTTGCCTTCGTCGTCCTTGCTTAAGCATTATTTATCATCGTCCATTCGCAATTGTTCCACTCCACTGGGCATCGTTGCCGGTGGGTGCAACTGCTAGAAATGTCAAATCTGATAAACAAGCTGCCAGAAAAAAAAGCAAAAAAAACCAGCCAAAGCGGTGTCCAGTTGTCATTCCGTTTTTTCCTCTCTAGTGAAAATCCACGACAGACGAACGAGAAAAATCCATCACGCAGGAGAAAAATGGCAGATGCTGAGGTAAATGTGATTGATATTAGTACAAAAAAGTGTCATTGATACTCGAAGTGCAATTTGGCAGTGGTTTACGGTGAATAATAATGGAATGTTTCTATCCGCAGCTCGGGAAAGCATTGAAGGACCTGCCGAATCGGGTGCTGAACGTGAGCGTTGAGGAACGCCCGGAATTGTTCCGTAATGTGATCGACGTGCTGCCGAATGTGGGTAAGTATCTATAATGCGGTGGATTTCAGTGGTTAAAGTTCTAAGGCGGTGAATTTGTGAATGTTTTGTGTGAAAATTAAGCGCAGACAAATTGTAACCTCAATTTGTTTTGCTCTAGGCATATCCCCACCCCAAAACAGTGCAATTCGACAGGTTGTGAAATAATAGGGGATGAAGGGCGACCGGCGGATGGTTGTCCTGTTTTTCACACGATTTTTTCTTTCTTCCAGGCATTAACGCGACTATTGTTCGTGGAATTTGCAAGGTGATTGGAACAACTCTGACCAAATATAAAGATCCGGCATCGCAGGCACTGGTTCGGGAGCTGCTGGTAGCCCTGCTCAAGGAGCATCCAGATTTGGCTTACGAGCACTTCAATAATGTTTTGAAATCGTTGGCCACGAAGGACCTGGCGGCTGCCCCTCCTCTCAAGGGAGCTCAGGTAGCGGTCCTTGCTTTGGAATGGGCGAATCTGGTGGCACTGAATGGAAACCATGAATCTGACGTGGGTAAAAAGGAATTCCCAAAGTTGATTGAGAACCAGGCCGGATTGTATCAGCTGTCGCTGACTTCGGGAATTCAGAAGGTTTCCGATAAAGCGTACAGTTCTTTGAAGGAATTCTTTGCCAAGAAGGAAGATCTCGAGAAGGTGTACTTCAGTAAGTTAATCACAATGGAACCTTCAAGTTCGGTGGTTCTATTTCTGTCAGCGATTTTGGCGTACATCAAAGAAGAATTTGATGATCTTTCGTTGTTGGAACAGAACAAAGCAAAAATGCTGGATCACGTAGTGAAAGGATTGATAACCGTAAAGACAAAGCCCCATGCAAGCGATATTATCGGTTGTTCGATCGTGTTAAGTGCCATCACGAAAGAGGAATTCAAAGCTACCATCCTGCCGGCCCTACAGAGGTCTATGCTACGATCCCCGGAAGTGATCCTACGGGCCGTCGGGGCAATGGTCAGTAAAATACAGGTAGATGTTAGCGACTTTGCAATGGACCTGGGCAAGGCACTGGTACAAAATTTGGCCTCGAAGGATGAAACCGTCCGGCTGGAAGCGGTTGAATCCCTCAAACAGGTGGTTATGAAGTGTAGTGCTCCCAAGGCGGTTGAAGCACTACTCAAGGAGGTGTTTGCCGTGTTCAACGGGTCCGGAGGAAAGATAACCGTTGTAGAACTGAGAATCAATCTACTACAGGTGAGTGGGTTGTCTCTTGCGAGAAATTGGATTAAAAGATATTCACTGTCTGCCTTTGTTACAGGGGGCGGGCAATCTGAGCTACAACCATATCAAGCCAGATGATGCCCAGACGCTGATGCCAACGGTGACTGAGCTTTTCATCAAAGCTTTGGAAACGGAAACTCAGGAAAAGGTTCTGTGCCACGCGTTGGAAATGTTCGGGCTATGGTCGATCAATTTCCGTGGTGAAATCCCCACGAAAATCGTTCAAACATTCAAAAAGGGATTAGAGGCCAAGGCGCAAGTCTTGAGAACTAGCTATCTACAGTGGTTCCTGGCTTGTTTGGCGAACGGAAAGCTTCCAGCTGGAAGCGATTTCACCGGTCCATTGTCGAAGATTGTCGAAAAGGCAGCGCAAAATCCGACACAAACGCCAGCCGTTTCCGAAGCTGTCGGGGCGGCCTGCGTTATCCTTTTGACTAACCCCAAGGTCACCGATCAGCTCAAAGACTTTTGGAATGTCGTACTGGACATGAACAAGAAGCTATTCCTAGGGGAAAAATTCCTCTCGGGAACTGCACCGGAAACCCTCTGCTACGTGATGTTAATTTGCGAACGGATACTGCTAAACAACCTTGACGATTTGAAAGGACCTTCGGACCCACTGTTCAAAACTGTCATCCACTGTGTCAATTTCCATCACAAGAAGGTCCGCAAGTACTGCTTGCCGCTTTTAAAGAGAATCGTCAACAGTCCGAACGGCATCAATTTGGCAAAAAGCCTCCTGCAAGAGCAGACCAATTTTGTGGAGTCGACAAAAATTCTCAACGAAGGCGAACAGGAAGAGGGAGTGGTTCCGGCGCAGGCCATTGTCGACAGCATCATGTCGGTGACCGATATTGAATCCATTCAGATGACCGACGCTCAAACGATTGCACTGAGTGTGCTGCTGTGTGCCCACCATCCATCGGCCGTTTCGGTACAATCGGATCTTTGGGAATCGATTTTGAAGCGATTCGAATTGGACGGAAAGTACTTCATCTCGATGAATACTGGTCACATCAAGGAGGTCTTCTTCAACAGCTACAAGGCCACGGCGATGTATGAGAACACGTTGGCCACCCTGTCGCACATTAGCCCGGAAGTGATCCTACCGGTGCTGGTCAAGAACGTGACGGACCATTTGAACAACTCGAAAATGTCCAACGTTACCGACGAGGAGTACTTTACCTATTTGACTCCGGACGGGGAGCTGTACGACAAGAGTGTCATTCCGAACTCGGACGAACAGACGAATACGGCGCATCTGAAGCGGGAAAACAAGGCCTACAGGTGAGTGTGTTGGCAAAGCGATTCCGATGAAAATTTTACTTAATCCTATCATTTTCAATGGCAGCAGTACTGTAAAATTTCAAAAGTTCACTGAATTGCAGTCGACGTATTTCCTTCGGAAGACTGACCGAAAATAGGTTCTATTCGCCCTAATCTTTTCGGAATAAAAAGTTTTGCTTATTCTACCGGTGATTTGCTTTCGAGAAGTCTTGCTATCGGTCGTTAGTGATCTAAAAAATACTCAAAAAAGTGAAACAAAAAAAAACATTTCAAGTCGGATTTTCTTCAAACTTGCTGGGAATAAACTACAACAATGGTTTATTGGATCTCCGTTCACACCATTCGTAAGGTTTCGTTTCGGGCAATGGTGGGGCCGACTTCTTTTGATACTTTTACCCACTGTTTCTTCAAAGCCAGCACGATCTCCAACACCTTAGGTGTTTTACGAAGTCTGGCCTTCATCATGGCCCATAACTCGCAATCGGGCGAAGTTCCTGTGAGTTCGGTGGGTTGACGTCTTTTGGTACAAAAACAACATTGTAGTCTCTGTACCAGTCTTACCCTCGCCTCCGTAAGACCGTAGGAAAGGTAGGAGGCGCTTCTGGAGGCACTTATCCTGGTAGATTTGCCCGTTGATGGTACCCGTCGTGATGTACAACTGGTTCATCTTGCCGCACCCCCAGATGGCCTGCCAAACCAAGAACTTTTTGGTGAATTTGTCCACCTTCTTTCTTACCTTCTCAGGAACGGCTAACCGTGATGTGGCACCGTAAAATTCCTGCCCCGGCAACTGCTTTGTATCCACCTTTATGCAAGTCTCGTCGTCCATCAGGACGCAGCTCGGTTTCGTCAGCCATTTCTGGTTCAGCTTCCTGAAGCGGGTTTAGGCCACCGCGTTAAGTTTGTCGTTTCGGTTCGGTGCCTTCCAGACCTTGTAGATGTGGATGCCGGACAAACCAGATGGAAACATCCGCCTTCTTCGCCGGATCACGGATTGAAAAATTCGACCGACGCTTGAACAGACTCAACACCTTCCTGGCCTTCACCGAGTCAGCTGTCTTCAGTTTTCTGCCGCAGCTTGCTCGCCACTGAGTCGTCTGGGTCTCCATGAATGACTTCACCACCCGGAAAATCGTCGAATGATGGATTCCCAGTTATTTCCCGATCTTTCTGTGGGACGCAATAAGATTTTCCTCGATGGCGCACAGGATTTTTTGGCGGATCTACTCTTGCTGCATGCCATCTCGATAACCACTTGACGGATTGTGATGAAATTCTGCCAGCGTATACATTACACTCTTAGCTAGTTTCAGTCAAAATTCTATAAATTTTTACCCACGCACTAAAAGAGGTACAAACTAATCAATGTGCCTTATTTTTTTCGATTGCAGTTTTCATGAAGACTTAGTACCCTCCCGTTTTTACCAACATGACCTCATCAGCTAATTCTATCCTCGAATTTGAGATAGTGCTTTCTGGATACTTTTTCATGAAATACCATGTTGTGGATCCTCTAGTCTAGTGATATCAGAAATGGAATTGAGGATGAACTTTCTAGCAAGCAAAGAAGACAAAAATCATGTGTTGCCAAAAACGGGAAGGCACTGTATTCCACTGGTTTCTGTTTCGTCAATGTGTTCCCTGAAAATCAGCTGGCACTTAGCCGCTTAAACTGATTTTGTTATTCTCAGACGGGGCAAGTCTGGGTGATTGTGAACGTGGAAAAATTATGACCTAGGTGTTATGGATTTTCCAGGTCTTGACATACTCAGACAGGACATTCAAGCCTCTCTGAAGTTTGGCAATCAGAGCCCCGATGATCCTTCGCTTGTAGACGATGGATGCAGAGACACCATCTGGAAGAGCCAGATTGAATAGAATGGGCACAAGAGAGCCTTTCTTGAGGTACACCTGCCCTGATATTGAAGGTGTCTGATGTGATTCCATTCAGAGAGATCTTTTTATCCATATGGCTAGTTCATAGCTTAAATCAGAGAGATCTGGAATGTCCTGTCCGAGAAATAATTTTTGATGAAGTCAGATAACCGAATTGTCATCATGCCAAACATTGTCATATCCCTTGTCAAAAATAGCGTCATCTGCCGCTCAAAGGTAAATGCTTCGAACAAATTTGATAGCAAAGATTACATCCTCAGAAGAATGGTTTGTGTATTTGCTCATTTTTCTATGCGTTGCTTCCACCTTGGCTCAAGTGCAGCGCTACTGTATCTGTCTCTTGGATCCTGGCAAAGTTGACAGTCTTCTGGATATGATGTCTTTGGTATAAGGCAATACGTGGATGTTCAGGAAATACTGGAGAAGTCCAAGAAAGACTCATCTTCCAAATTTACAGTGTGAATTAGATATCAAACCAAACAATGGATTAGGTCCTAAGTAGCATACAAATTGATGCGAAGGTTAGGCTTATAAAAACGAAACACCAGGGACTCTAAAATGTCTCGTATCAACCCTGAAACTTGCTATATGATAGGTAAATAAACGGGTCAGAGTCGTTATACGAATTACTGCCCCATGTTCTATAAGTAAAATAGTCGTATTATACCTCCCAAGGAACATTGCACGTTTTATCGAAATTAAAAAGCATTCTACAAGTCTAATGGTCTACAGAACCCTCATAAAACCAAATTTGTTACTTGGGCTATTAGTATCGGAATTCTTGTTTTCAGTTTTACACAACCTATCTTATTCTCTTTCTCTTCCCATTCCAGCTACAAGGAGCAACTGGAGGAACTGACGCTCCGACGGGAGATCGAGGAAAAACGCCGCAAGGAGGGCAAATCCAAACCACCACAACTAACCCCGAAGCAGAAGGAAGCCATCGAGAAGCAAATGGAAAAGGAGAAGGCCATCATTAGCCGACTGCGGGAGCTGAGCAACATTATAACCACTCTGATCTCCCAGATCGAAGGTGCCGCAAAAGGAACTCCCCGTGAATTGTCGCTATTTTTCCCCACACTGCTCCCAGCCATTCTGAGGGTGTTTTCTTCGCCTCTCGCGGCACCGTCGATGGTTAAGCTGTATCAGCGGTTGAGGGAAACCTGCTTCAACGATGAACTGGCCGAGACGGGCCGGGATGTGGCGATTGCAACGATTAGACTGAGCAAACCTCACTGTGATCTGGAGGAGAGCTGGTGTGCCTCCAATCTGCTGGAGCTGGTCAGTGATATTCTGGTGTCGGTCTACGATGAAACGATCGATAAGTACAATGTACACATCGAGGAAGATGGGGCGAAGAACTATCTGCTGAATGCTCCATCTTTCAGCTATACGTTTGAGTTTTTGAAACGAGCCATGATCATGCCGGATGCGGACAACGACGAGAGTTTGTTGATCAACGGTATCCAGATTATTGCCTATCATGCTCAGATCAAGGGAGACACGGTCGATGGGCAGGACTTTGACGATTTGTACCATCCAAAGTACATGCCAAGATTGGAGATGATCAAACTGTTGTTGAAGTTGATTCAGAGGCATCGGGGTAGGGTTCAAACGCAGGCGGTGGCTGCACTGTTGGATGTTGCTGAAAGCAGTTCCGGAAAGGAGTATACGGCAAATGGGGATTCTCGAGAAGTGGAATGTTTGTTGGTGGCATTGCAGGACGGGTCGGATGCCGTGAGGGATGTGGCGTTGAGAGCGTTGGCTATTATGTTGAACGTGCTGCCCTCGATAACCGATGATTACGAACTTGGGCTGAGGTTGACCAGAAGACTTTGGGTGGCGAAACATGATGTATGCGAAGATACCAAGCAGTTGGCGGAGAATATTTGGGTTCAGGGTAACTACGAGGTTCCTATCGTAATGGCAGATGAACTGCTAAAGGACATCATCCATCCGGAACCTTGCATTCAGAAGGCAGCTTCATTTGCGCTGGTTTCGATTCTGGCTGAAGATTCTTCGATCATTGAAGGCATTGTGGAGCAGTTGTTGGAGATTTACCAGGACAAGGTTATCATGATTCCAGCTAAGCTGGATCAGTTTGATCGCGAAGTGGAACCGGCAATCGATTCCTGGGGACCGCGCCGTGGAGTGGCTATTGCTTTCAGCCATGTTGCTCCCTTCCTCACGGAGGAACTGGTAAACAGTTTAACCCAGTTTATGGTTTCTACTGGTTTGCGCGATCGCGAAGAAATCGTCCATAAGGAGATGTTAGCTGCTTCGCTTGCCATAGTGGAGCACCATGGTAAGGAGACTGTTTCCCATTTGCTTCCAACGTTTGAAAAGTTCCTGGACGAGGCTCCCAACCATAGCGACTACGATAACATCCGTCAGGCTGTGGTAATTTTGATGGGTTCGTTGGCACGGCATTTGGACCGAGACGACGCTCGAATCCAGCCAATTGTGAATCGACTTTTGACAGCATTGTCCACTCCTTCGCAGCAAGTTCAGGAGTCTGTGGCCAACTGTATCCCGCATTTGATTCCATCGGTCAAGGACCAGGCGCCACAGATGGTGAACAAAATGATGCAACAGTTGGTCAAGTCGGAGAAGTATGGAGTGCGACGTGGAGCAGCTTACGGTATTGCTGGAATCGTCAAGGGATTGGGAATTTTGTCGCTTAAACAGCTGGATATCATGACCAAGTTGACCAAACATATCCAAGACAAGAAAAATTTCAAATCTCGCGAGGGAGCCTTGTTTGCATTCGAGATGTTGTGCTCAACGTTGGGTCGTCTATTCGAACCCTACATCGTACACGTTCTACCGCACCTTCTGCAGTGTTTCGGAGATTCTTCTTGTTACGTTCGTGAGGCCGCCGACGAATGTGCCAAAACTGTGATGGCCAAGCTGTCCGCTCACGGTGTCAAGTTGATCCTACCTTCGTTGCTACATGCCTTGGATGAGGATTCCTGGAGAACGAAGACCGCTTCGGTAGAACTTCTCGGTGCAATGGCTTTCTGTGCTCCCAAGCAGCTGTCGTCTTGTCTACCGAGCATAGTTCCCAAGTTGATGGAAGTTCTAGGCGATTCACACATTAAAGTACAGGAAGCTGGCGCTACTGCTCTGAAAATGATCGGAAGTGTCATCAAGAACCCCGAAATTCAAGCCATTGTTCCAATCTTGCTCAAAGCTTTAGAGAATCCATCATCGAAAACTTCCCACTGTCTGCAGAGTCTGCTGGAGACCAAATTCGTCCACTTCATCGATGCTCCTTCGCTGGCTCTGATCATGCCTGTGGTGCAGCGTGCTTTCATGGATCGTTCAACCGAAACTAGGAAGATGGCTGCTCAGATTATCGGTAACATGTACTCTCTGACCGACCAGAAGGATTTGACCCCGTATCTGCCGAACATTATCCCAGGTCTGAAAACCTCTCTGCTGGATCCGGTACCGGAAGTCCGTGCCGTGTCTGCTCGTGCCCTGGGCGCTATGGTTAGGGGAATGGGTGAATCGTCTTTCGAAGATCTCCTCCCGTGGTTGATGCAAACTCTAACGTCGGAAAGCAGCAGCGTGGATCGTTCTGGAGCTGCTCAAGGTCTGTCCGAGGTCGTTGGAGGTTTGGGCGTAGAAAAACTGCACAAACTTATGCCGGAAATTATTGCCACGGCCGAGAGAACCGACATCGCACCGCACGTCAAGGATGGATACATCATGATGTTTATCTACATGCCGAGTGCATTCCCTAATGACTTTACTCCATATATTGGACTGATTATCAATCCTATCTTGAAGGCACTGGCCGATGAAAATGAATACGTGAGAGACACTGCGTTGAAGGCCGGCCAGAGAATTGTCAATCTGTATGCCGAGTCCGCAATTGCACTGCTGTTGCCAGAGCTGGAGAAGGGACTGTTTGATGATAACTGGCGTATCCGGTATAGCTCGGTTCAGCTCTTGGGAGATTTGCTGTACAAAATTTCGGGTGTTTCGGGTAAGATGACAACGCAAACAGCTTCCGAGGATGACAACTTTGGAACGGAGCAGAGTCACAAGGCAATCATCAGCAGTTTGGGAGGAGAAAGGAGAAACCGAGTGCTGGCTGGGCTCTACATGGGTCGTAGCGATGTTTCGCTCATGGTTCGTCAGGCGGCACTGCACGTGTGGAAGGTTGTCGTCACCAATACTCCGCGTACTCTTCGGGAAATTTTGCCAACATTGTTCAGTCTACTGTTGGGATGTTTGGCCAGTACTAGCTACGACAAGCGGCAGGTTGCTGCGAGAACATTGGGAGATCTCGTCCGAAAACTTGGAGAACGTGTTCTTCCGGAGATCATTCCGATTCTGGAGAGTGGGTTAAGCTCCGATCAAGCTGACCAGCGACAGGGTGTCTGTATTGGTCTTTCAGAAATCATGGCCTCCACCTCCAGGGATATGGTGCTGACCTTCGTAAATAGTCTGGTACCTACAGTCCGCAAGGCTTTGGCTGATCCTCTACCGGAAGTTCGTCAAGCCGCCGCTAAAACATTCGATTCACTTCACACCACAGTCGGAACGCGTGCCCTGGACGACATCTTGCCATCCATGTTGGAAAGCCTGTCTGATCCGGATCCGGATGTTGCCGAATGGACTTTGGATGGTCTCCGTCAAGTTATGGCCATCAAATCTCGCGTGGTCCTACCATACCTTATACCACAACTGACGGCCAATCCCGTCAATACCAAGGCGTTGTCCATCTTAGCATCCGTCGCTGGAGAAGCACTCACAAAATATCTTCCCAAGATCTTACCTGCCCTCCTTTCGGCACTTGCCGCTGCTCAAGGTACACCGGAGGAAGCTCAGGAGCTGGAATACTGCCAGGCTGTCATTCTGTCCGTCAGCGATGAAGTCGGAATTCGTACCATCATGGACACTGTCATGGAGTCAACCAAGTCTAATATTCCTGAAACACGTAAAGCTGCTGCAACTCTTCTGTGCGCCTTCTGCACTCACTCGCCTGGAGATTATTCTCAATACGTACCCCAGCTGTTGCGCGGACTCCTGCGACTACTCGCCGATGCAGATCGGGACGTACTGCAACGTTCCTGGGATGCGCTCAACGCGGTCACCAAGACACTAGACTCAGCTCAACAGATTGCTCATGTAACGGACGTTCGCCAGGCGGTCAAATTTGCTAGCAGTGATCTCAAAGGTGCCGAACTTCCAGGCTTCTGCTTACCCAAAGGTATCACCCCACTGCTTCCGGTATTCCGTGAAGCTATTCTGAATGGTCTACCGGAGGAGAAGGAAAACGCTGCCCAAGGCTTGGGAGAGGTTATCCAGTTGACTTCAGCAACTTCGCTGCAGCCATCCGTGGTGCACATTACCGGTCCACTGATCCGTATTCTTGGTGATCGATTCAACGCCGGTGTCAAGGCTGCAGTTCTTGAAACCTTGGCAATCCTCCTGCATAAGGTCGGAATAATGTTGAAACAATTCTTACCACAGTTACAAACTACATTCCTCAAGGCGCTGCACGATCCAAGCAGGATTGTACGTATCAAAGCTGGACACGCCCTGGCTGAACTGATCGTTATCCATACTCGCCCTGATCCGTTGTTCGTGGAGATGCAAAATGGCATCAAAAACACAGACGATTCGACAGTTCGGGAGACTATGCTGCAGGCGTTGAGAGGAATTATGATCCCAGCCGGAGATAAGATGACCGAACCATTGAAGAAGCAGATCTACGCTACCCTGGCTGGAATGTTGGGTCACTCGGAGGACATCACCCGTGCCGCTGCTGCTGGCTGCTTCGGTGCTCTCTGCCGTTGGTTGAGCCCCGATCAGTTGGATGACGCCCTCGTTTCCCATTTACTAAACGAAGACTACGGTGATGATGCCGCTTTGAGGCATGGCCGAACTGCAGCTCTCTTCGTAGCTCTCAAAGAGTACCCATCCGCCGTCTATATCGAAAAGTACGAAGCTAAGATTTGCAAGACAATCGCATCATCGCTAACATCTGACAAAATTCCGGTGGCGTTGAACGGAGTCCGTGCAGCAGGCTACCTGCTACAATACGGAATGTGCTCCGAAGGAGTCAAACTCCCGCAACAGATAATCGGTCCGTTCGTAAAGTCCATGAACCACATGAGTAACGAAGTTAAGCAACTGCTCGCCAAAACCTGCATCTATCTAGCCAAAACCGTTCCCGTGGAAAAGACAGCCCCAGAGTACCTCCGATTGGTGATCCCAATGCTTGTCAACGGAACCAAGGAAAAGAATGGCTACGTTAAGTCCAACTCGGAAATAGCTCTAGTCTACGTCTTGCGGTTACGAGAGGGTGACGACGTGCATCAAAAGTGCATTGCTCTGCTGGAACCGGGTGCGCGCGATTCGCTGAGTGAAGTCGTCAGCAAGGTCCTCCGCAAGGTCGCTCTGCAGCCCGTGGGCAAAGAAGAGGAGTTGGACGATACGATTCTTACGTGATTACTGCGGCCACCACCACCGATATCGAAGAGAAGGAAACGAACACAGTATCAATTGGATGATCCATCTACTTTCGTTTTAAGACTTGTTGCTGCAATTGGCGATAGAACGTCGATTATGATTACTACCAAGCTGTTAGGAAACTACAACAATTGGCACTCATGGATCGAAAATAAATTAGAATTTAGCTGTGGAAACGCTCGACGTTGTGACGGATGGCTAAGCCATTCGATAATTACAGTGGACAGTAAAAGAAAGTCCTGATTAGTCTTGAACAGGTGTTGTAGGTTGGCATCAGCAAGTCTCCGCCATTACATTTGTAACAACCATAATCGTTGTCGTGATTGTCATTATCCAGATAGATCTTGCTACCATCAATTATTATTACCCGTATCACTATCATCATTACACTACATTCGGTGTAAGACTAAAATTTTTACAGGTCGTACAATTTTCAATAATAATAATCAATACTTGATAGTCTGTGTAGTTGCTATAAATCTAGATAAATCCAGTGCAATCCGTGTTGTCATTTGCTTTCTGTTGGTTTGCTACTTTAGTTCGGTTGTTTTTGGCGTGGTCCGCAATCTGCGGGCCTGGATGGGTCAATTTTGTTTCATTAAATAACAGAATTGGGGTTTTAACCGGTCTATGGGTACGACTCAAATTTGGGGCCTTATTACGGGTGTCACTACACGGTGATAAGCAAGTGATACTCAGAATAAGAGCCGTGATTACCGTACAAATCAAATGGGAATCACTTCACCGTGACGACAAGTGACAACTTTTCACCGTGATGTGACATCCGTAATAAGCCCCTTGAGTTCCGTTTACTCAATTGTAATTGTTTAGTGCATATACCGTGCCTTCCGGTGGCCCCGACTAGGATTAAACCCAGGCCTTTTGAGGTGAGAGGGAATCACGCTTACCACTACCAAACCGGCGTCGCTTGTCAAAGCATGGTTGAAGTACTTAAAATATTTTAAAAATTTGTGCTAAAATCGATTTTGCGTAATCTGTTAAAGATAGTTTTTAGTTTCAGTTCTAATTTGGTCATATTCAATAATATTCATATTCATTCAATAATAATAAACCCGATGGCAAACTGAATTATGTTGCTTTTGCGAACGGGAGAGATAAGCGAGTACCGGGAACTAGAATTCAGGTGATAATATTAAACACAATTATCGATCCTCCGATTATCGAACTCGTTATTTGAAAGTTTTGGGAAAATGGGGCTACCTTCGGAGGTTTATTGTACGTTCAGACTACAGAGTTACAACATATTATAGCGCTATCTTGATGGTGGTTTCTGTGTTGCAATTATTTGACAACATTTAATAACTGCTCAGTCTGGACAGCGCTCTACATTGTTCTAAACATGCTCCAATCGTTTCGTTGAACTTTTTTTTACATAAGAAATTATGTGTTTTATCTGAAATCTAGCGGCAGTTTTCAAAACAGTTATTAATAGCCCTTAAGTAACAAGTTTTGGGGGAAATGGGGCAAAATGAGCTACTTCTCGAGGTCTACACTATCCAATTATTCAATCGATTCATTGTACTTTTTTCATAGGACATTTTTTGTTTTAGAGGAAATGGCTCTAATATTGGCCTATGGTTCTAAAGATTGGACCCATCGATAAAAATCTCATGTTCTTCCATTTGTATTAAATCAATGCGTCAACTGGACAATACTAATGGATATTTTTGGTTGATAGTGAAAAATTATCAAAAAATTCTTTCCTTCGAAATTTATGTATGGGGCAAATATTAAGGACACTCAAGCCAACATTAGGTACATTAACCGTATGTCTGAAATCTAGGGACTGTTTTTAAAACTGTTAACAATTTCCCTTAAATCAGGAATTTTGGGGAAAATGGGGCAATATAGGCTATCTTTTTAGTCCGCACCAAATATGTGCGACTCTGGGTCTATTTTTGCCCACCGTGCATGGGTTGCGAAAATGGGTATTAAACCTTGTTTAGCGCCTCGCGGTGGATATGGTCTCATTCGTAGAATATAACCAACTGCGCTTGGAACTAGGCTTGGAATATATAATATCAAGTCGTTACTATTTGCTTGGTCAGGCATTTTGAGGTTTTTGATAGTTTATGATGACAGAACTGATTTTAACGGATTATCAAGAATTACTACAGAACAATGTTCCGTATAATAATGATGGTGTTCGAACCTGACGTTTGTTTTTTCCGTTGAGTTTTTTTTTATATCTATAATCGGTTGCTGATCTGGCCATAACCAGGCCCAGGAGACAATTTCTAATTCTCTAGCACCCCATTCTAGTCAAAATTCTAGTACTACACAATGTTTGTTTTGATTCGCTATGAAAGTTTGACAGATAAAATGAGGGGTTATTTGATTTTCCTATGTTTCGAGGGGTGAATCGATTAGCTTGGGACCGAAGATAGTACCAGAGCTGAGCCAAAAAGTTGAGCACGTTTCTTCGGGACCTACTAGTCTTAGAGTTACCTCTATGGAAATACTCAGAGGGAGAGATAGACGGAGAAAACAAAATACAATTCGGCAGCAGGGATTTGTTCCTAAATTATCTTACAACCCTAATAAAAATTGTATGGTTAATTTGCTTAACGACGTGTTCTGGGTATCATCCAAACCATTTGTGGAATAGTTCAATGATTTGGGTTATCGTTCGTTTATGGTTATTTTTTATTAGGGAACCCTTGCTAGAAGCTAGCATTTCAAATGACCTTTATTTTTGATTCGATTTACGTGCAAAATAATAATTGATTGCATTGCAATATTTTGCACATTTCTTGGTGCCATTTATTAACCAACGAAGATCAATTCAAGCATAACTTTTCAAAAAGACGTATGTAACATTGGATAGGAAATTAGAAACATTGGATAGCAATGTCTATATGAGATTATTAAATGCTATTTAAAAGTTAATGCTATTTTTTTAAATCTGTTTGTGCTATTAGTTGGATAAAGGGATAGCGTTTAAGCACAGACAACAGACGTAACTCTTCATTGTGTATCTTCGTTCATGCATTTAACGGTTGATTTGAATATTATCAGTTCCGCGAACTACTCGCCGCAGCGCTGGCATCGGATCACTTTGACGTTTCTATACATTCTATAGAACTTTTATACAATATTGTTTGCGAGTTAGCGAGCAATCTTGTTTTCCGCGAGAAGCCAGAGAGATGTCGCTACTGAGGTCTTATGTTTTGAGAGGCTATGTTTTCAAGAAAAACTTGTTCAAAGTGTTACGTGTTTAAGAGAATTGTGAAAAATGTCGAGTTTTGCAAACACGGACAAGACTTTTGATAAAACAAAATCATACACCTTTTACTTGTGTACTACCTACATACACCTTGATTGATTCGTCGGTATCACAACTTGATTGTTACATACACCCTGCATGATTCGTCTATTTGACAGAAGGGTTTTCAATACGTCAAATCAGATACATCGGTTTTTGTTTTGCAGTGAAGATACGTCGGCAGCTCGAAAAGCATTGAGGAATTGTCGGTTGGTTGGTTTATTAACATGATTACCCAGAGTTGTTAAATAATCGATGTTAAAAGCGGAGAGATTAAATAACAATTTTATTAGAATACTTTTGAAATAATAAACATGTTGCTCCCGGAAATACAAAAACAAACATACAAACTTGACGCATTTGCTGATTGATAGTAATTGCTTTGTTGTTTCACATACGACGCTTCACTGTGAGCGTATCTGCAGTTTTTGTGTTATCATCAAATTTTTACAGTTAAGTCATGTTGACAATAAAAAGGTGTATCAACACAATTTTAAAAACAATGAAAGAAGGTCACATAGGGCGTTCATTAAATATATTTTCCATAATGCATTACAATTTCAAACCTTGTTTTTCATTAACTCGTTGGAAAAGCATGTATTTTATATTCGGTTAGATGCAAAATATCGATTTGTTTATTTTTGCGACTTACGTCCTTTTGAAAAGTTATGCTTGAATTAATCAATAGAGTTAGAATATTGTTTTTGGTTTCAAAAACTAGTTGAATTTGAGAAGCACACAAAACATAAAGGTGACTGAAATTCTGTTCGTTTGCAATACTCTCAAATTTATTCTAGTAAGAATAAGAAATCATCGGAAAAATTCTAATTGACAGTTCATTTCGCTCAAAACTTTCTCTCCGCCTATCTCTCTCTCTGAGTATTTCTAGTTGGTACAGGTCGGACTCGATTATCCAGAGTATCGATTTTTTTTTCACTCCGGATAATCAAATCCTCCGGATAATCGAATCACAAGAAAAAAAAATTAAAAATCTGCCCCTCCTCCTAACGATTGTTAAAATAATCATATTGCATATTATAATACAAAATTATTTCAAATGTCTGCATTTTATTATATTATTATTATTATTTTATTAGTTTTTAACTAAAAAAAAATGCTCCGGATAATCGAGTCTAAAATTCCGGATAATCAAGTCTCCGCATAATCGAGTCTCCAGATAATCGAGTTCGACCTGTTATCATATTGTCACCCCTATTCTGTATTTCGTTTCGAACGAAATTCTCATACAAAAAAATATTTTTTTTTGTATGAGAATTTCGTTCGAAACGAAATACAGAATAGGGCTTTGTATATTATGATACTAAATTATTTCAAATGTCTGATAAAAACTAAAAAAAAAAACGCAAAAAAAAATACTCCGGATAATCGAGTCTAAAATTCCGGATAATCGAACCCCGGATAATCGAGTCCGACCTGTATATAATTTTTGATTATGCGTGTTGACCATGAAAATCGTAAAAAATATGCTTGATTCGATGAGAATCTGCAGTTTATGCATTAGAATGAATGAATCTAGGCAAACCGATATTTTGCATAGAATTATGTCTATTAAATAGACATAATTATATGCAATATCCAGGTTCGACAACAGAACCTTTTCAAAATAAGCCGTCAATTAAATAGACCCTTTTGAGAAAAAAAAAATCCGCAAGCTCAGCCACAGGGGCGAACGCCACACGGTTTGACGTTTCCTTCGCGGTGTTGTCAAAATCGGCAAAAACTGACTGTCATTCTCTCGCATCATCGGCATCACTCGTTTTCGCTTTACAAGCAAAAGTTGCAAGTAGTAAACAGTTAACCTCACACAAAATTGTTAGTTTTTGTTAAAACATTTGTGATAAAACCTGCGCTATTTATCTAATACTCTCCATCCATTGCAGCAGAACCACAACAGATCAGAACAATCATGTCAATCCTTGCGTACAACGGTGGTTGCGTGGTGGCAATGAAGGGCAAGAACTGTGTCGCCATCGCCACCGATCATCGTTTTGGTGTCCAGGCCCAGACGATTGCGACCGATTTTGAGAAGGTCTTCGAAATCAATCCACACATGTATCTGGGTCTGGTTGGCCTACAAACAGACATCCTCACGGTGCATCAACGGTTACTGTTCCGCAAGAATCTGTACGAGGTTCGAGAAAATCGGGAGATGACACCGGAACGGTTCGCTGCGATGCTGTCCAACTTTTTGTACGAAAAGCGCTTTGGACCGTACTTTATCGAACCGGTCATTGCCGGATTGGATCCGAAAACGTTTGAACCATTCATCTGCAATATGGATTTGATTGGTTGTCCTAATCAGCCGAATGATTTCGTGGTAGCTGGAACTTGTGCCGAGCAATTGTATGGTATGTGCGAAACCCTTTGGAAGCCGGATCTGGAACCAGAGATGCTGTTCGAAGTAATCTCGCAGGCCTTGGTGAATGCTTTCGATCGAGACGCCATTACCGGTTGGGGTGCGACGGTTTACATCGTCGAGAAGGAGAAGCTGACAGTGAAGAAACTGAAGACTAGAATGGATTAATGGGAACGAAGGAAGGGGATCTCTTTCCCGTGGCGATGGAAAGATATATACAATCTGATGAATATGAATGTTCTTTTTTTGTATGGTCGGAATTATCAAATTCAATAAATTTACTTTAAAATAAAGCACGCTTTTCATTCTGCTAAATGAAGAAAAATAAACATACTTTATTTGTGACCCTCCAGAAAGTCTTCAACAAAAGGTTCAAACCAAATATTGAAATCGTCAATCACCGGGAACTCCATGTCTGAATAATTGGAAAACATCTCATCAGGAGGCAGTTCAACTGAAACGTTATCGAACCCGACAACTTCCATGGCATCTGCACTTCCTTCGATCGCTGCTTCAATATTTTCAGACGCTGTGCCTGTGTGACCTTCTGAAAGTAAAATTGACAAATTTGATATGTCATATACAATCTTTACCACCTCTAGAGTCGGTGTATAATGAGTCACGCCAAGAGTGAAGCCAAGTCTACCTATTGAACTGTCAAACCGGCTACCTATCGTGCAAAGTAAACAAACATTACGATGCTATGAAAGGTCCACGAAAGGTATTGCAATAAAATATAAAATAAAATTGAAGAAATGATCATAAACACGCAGTGAGCATTAAATTGTCATGGGATACGTTTGCTAATGATCAGTAATGAGAATTTCTACTATTGTTTGATAAGATAATTTGACAAAATCACTGATATAATGATACACTACAGCCGCAATTTTTTGTTCTAGCTAGAAGTCATTTGAAGTTGATGTAGAAGTCCTCTGTTGCCAAGTGAAAAGAAAGGGAATCCTTCGAAAACCGTGATGCGAGTTCAACTGTTTTTCTCTTGGCGTGACTCATTATACACCGACTCTAACCACCTCTTCTTGCATCTTACAAATAAAAATTATCATTATAGTATTTGCTTGGGACCAATAGGTTAGTCAAGCAGTGAACCAATTTAAAATCGTTAGTTTCCACCGGTTGGTATATCTTTGATCTATAAGTAGTGAAAACCGATCTCCTTAGGGGCGCATAGAGAGGGTTTAGTGTAAGAGAGGAGCGGATTGGCTGGTTTTGAGCCAAACGAACTGTTAAAGCCAGAGCCAATCGAGCAACGCGCATTGGCGTAGCTAATGGGGGTGCCAAGGGGGCCAGGCCCCCTCCAGAATTATCTAGGCCCCTCCCAGAATATTTGGTGTTTTTTTTTAACTCGCCGGTATTTTGTCAAGCTTGTCAAGTTCGATGTTATTATTTAACAGTGATTAATAAAATTGAACCATAAGCAACGATTTTAGAATGAGTCTAAAAGCGAGTCTAAAAGTAAGTAAGTCCTTTATGTTGACTACTTTGCTTATGCTCTGGACTAGAAGAAACAATTTTGAAAAATTATATTATATCGGCATTTAATCGATGACATACTAAGACGTCTTCAGGCTTTACAAATTGGCCATGAGCCCATGGATTTTTCTTCAACTTATGCACAGCAAAAAAAGTTGTTGAATATTACATCGAAACTGCTGCAACCTGGTCAATCCATCGGTTGTGTAATATCACATTGTACGATGTACATCGATTTTGCGAACAAAATTACATCCATTGATGTAATATTGTATCTGCTTTTTGCTATTACATCATTATTTCATACATCAGCTTGAATTACGTTGATCGATATTACATTTTTTTTTTTGCTGTGTGGGAACATTGTAAAACTTCAAGGACTTCTAAGGAGTTCAGGGAACGTCATAGAAATTGAGGAAACATAAGAGAAACTCTGGGAGCTTCATACATCTTCCGAAAAAAAAGTCGTAGAAAATTTATTTAAGTTTAAGGAGTTTCTTAGAAGTTAATGGAACATTATTTCATTTCCAAAAAGCTCCATGAAATTCTTGGAGGTTATGGGAACTTCATAAAATTTCAAGGAACTTTCCAGGTGTCCAAGAATATTTGTGGATGATAGGTGTCTTTCCAGAAGTGCAAAGATGTTCAGAGATCTTTGTAGAGATGTAAATAATATGAAATTTGGAATAAATTCAGGGAACTTCGTAGTAGTTGAGGAAATTTTGAAAAACTTAAGGGAGTTTGGTAGATGTGCAGGAAACCGAAACGTTGCATAAGTTACAGATAATCCTTCTAAACATCCTTCCTAGAAACGGCGCCGGTGGTGTAGTGGTAAGCGTCATTACCTCTCACCCCAGCAGGCCTGGGTTCAATCCCAGTCGGCGCCGCCGGGATGTTCTGAGGCATAACATCTCTGATCACGCCTTCCTTCGGATGGGAAGTAAAGCCGTTGGTCCCCGGTTCATGAGTTGATGGGTCGATAGGTAGGGTCCAGGTGTGGGAGCTGCCTTCCTGGCACGTCGGTAGCATTGGTGCTCAGCACGGAAAACAAGATCGACGGAAAAAACAAACCAAAAAAAGGATCCTTCCTAGGCTCTGAACCATTTGGTGGATTATTTTAACTTTTGGTTAAAATTTGACAGATCGAAAGTTATCGATTGACCCTGCTATCCGAGCTTGGTTACTTCTGACAGACAAGAAGTTAAATTTTGACAACTTTGGCTGAGTTCTTCTCGAAAACCGGTCGATCGACAGCACAGGGATTTTCGAACATAGAAAATAACTTTCGAAATGTCACTTTTAACCACGAGTTAAATTTAACTCGGCAAATGGTTCACAGCCCTAGAAAGCTTGAAATATTCAAAACATCTCCATACAGACGAAGATATTAGTTAAGTTCTCTGGATATTTTTCCAAGACTTCAGATTGATCACGTTCTGAGTACCTACTAGTTTCAGAATCTAGGTAAGTATTCAAAAATCTTGAATTTCCAATTTTGAAGTCCAGGAGATTTAAAGCTTGTCCAAGCCTTGATAGCATAGGCAACCTTTTTTAATCCCCAATATTTATTTTGAACAAAATTTTGTCGAATTTTGACGTAGAACTACGTCTTTGTCGACTATACTGGGGTGCAAATCAAAAAATATGTGTGGTGAAGGAGTGTTAGATTTTGAACGCTTGTAACTTTGTCATTTATAGATGAAATTAAAATCCAAATATGGCAATCGATAGGATATTACAATACGAACCTGCTGAGATATACATTTTTCCAATTTTTCTGTAATTAAACTATTGAAATGTACAAATGATAATTTTATCACTGTTTTCATGAAATAAGCCTTTTTCCCAAACCCAGTCATCATAAACGAATACCACTTGGTTGCACATCATTCTGCTTAAACATGAAAAGATATAAATCAGCGCTGCTCTCCTGCCTCTGCTCATTACCGCTTCGGACGGCGTGACACTACACAGCAAAAAAAAATGTAATATCGATCAATGTAATTCAAGCTGATGTATGAAATAATGATGTAATAGCAAAAAGCAGATACAATATTACATCAATGGATGTAATTTTGTTCGCAAAATTGATGTACATCGTACAACGTTATATTACACAACCGATGGATTGACCTGGTTGCAGCAGTTTGGATGTAATATTCAACAACTTTTTTTTCTGTGTAGGTCCTAGGACTAAGTCAGCGGCTAAAGGTGGATCACGGAGTGTCCACCACAATGAGGAATGAGACTTGAAAAAACGTGCATGTAAAACCCCCTCCCCCTTAACAATCTCTCCCCCTCCCCCCTTAACAATAACCCGAAAAAGACATGGACTTGGACGATCATGTTTTTCGGGAAATAAATTTTAAGCAAACCACAATTATGTATAAACAATTTATTTTTTACATGCAGAGCCAACATTTTCAAAAAACATTTGCTTAACAGGGACATACACTCGATGGATTACCAATAACTGACTGTTAAACATATCTGGTACCTCTATATCAATGACATTTATATAAGGTCTGGGCCAACAGGCAGCTTGCTGGTGTTAGAAGCAAAAATGTTGTAAACATAGAGTTCTCTACCACCGTTAGTATTAGTGAGAAGTTTCACTAATACATGCATTTTACTGGTTGAAAATAAAAAACAAACCACTGTCAAGTCGAACACTTTGACAGCTGATTTCGTGGTTGAAAATAATAAACAAATCGATTTTACAGGGCTACGCTCGCTAGGTTGTATTAGTGAGATCTTGCGTCGAGAAGTCAATTGCTGAACATCTGCGAACAGATAGATATACGTCACTGCCAACATACTGAGAACAGATAGATATACGTCACTGCCAACAGCTGTTTCGTGTAAAAAGATAAACATTGCAATATAATACGAACACCACTAACCATTTGCACATTTCACTAACACCAATAAGCCCTTTGGCCCAGACCTTATATAAACGTCATTGCCTCTATATATGCAATTATATTGACATCCAAAGTCCATCCTTTTTTACATATTCTGCACAAAAGAAACTTTTTGCTCCGCCCCATTCATAAAAAAACGGTGGGAAATCCTATCAGGTTTGGTTGCAGCAAGCAGGACCAAGTCAGTGGCTAAAGGTGGATCACGGCGTGACCGCAATGAGGAATGCGACACAATGAGGAAAATAAATGTTTGTAAACCCCCTGCCCCCCTTCACAACAACCTCCCCCTCCCTCAACAATAATCCGAAAAAGACATGGACTTTGACGATCACTTTTTTCCGGGAAATAAATTTTAAACAAACCACAATTATTAATAGTAAAAACAGGAGTTTTTCCCTTAATTTCTTCCCGCATCATAACTTTCAAAATTGCTTGAAATACATATTCGATGATTTGATGCTGATGAATTAAACACCACTGACTGTAAAAGTAGTAGTAGTAAAATTTCGTTTATTTCTGTTGATTATGGTGTATACATTGATTTTACATTTCAATTGATTTGCCTATCTGGCTCTTCATCTTTGTTCATTGGGTATTCTAATTTAGTAGTTGCGTATTTCATCTAGTTAACAGAAAACCCCTTGAGGGTGTGTTTTGTTTTAATTGAAAAATTTGATAACCTACCTAACTACGAGTCTAACTTAACTAACGTGCCAGATCACCTATGATCTGAAGATCTGATCTCAGACGGGTGTCTCTGAACCTTTCCAAGGAGACCGTTCGTCGCTCTTCGAGAGGCTGAAGACCAGCCAGGCGGTGAACCTCAGAATTTCGGGTCCTGGACTGTTTATCCTAAGGATCTTGTTCTGAAGTTT